AAAGTAGACTCTTGCTAATGGCGCGCATCAACATGGCTAGTGTCATATAGGATAAAGGGATAGGTGGAATTTTCGCGAAAAAATAGCAGCAAAAGAAGCAAGCCTTCTCCCTTGTCCTCATCCTTATCAAGTATGAGGCCTATTCCGATGACTCTACGCGGCGAACCAAAGAAGACGCCTTCCTCAAGTGTATCATCAGGAGCCGTATGCAGCAGTACGTGACCGGGGATGGGTGTCCAAAAACCTGCATCTTTGGACGTTTCCTTTACTCTTGTCCATGGGAGTGAGTCATCAGTTGGAGTGAAGACGCAGAGTTTTGTTGGACCTATCCCCAGTCGGGTATTACTGCATATGGCCTTGGTCTCACCACTAGGTTTGGCCGAGTTCAGAAGGATAGTGTAGGAAAGCAAAAAATGGAGTATTATGCTGTGCGTCAAATCATCACGTGTTTGCCTTTCACCATCTCATAAATTCGTTCGTTTGGATTGCTATTGAAGAGTTTCATGATCGTTTGGAGTGTGCCGTTGAATTTTCAAGTGGGATGGATCTAGTCAGGGTTTAGCAAAGGAAGTTTGATCAAAAGATTAATTCAGTGTGGGAAGAAGGAGGACTCTTTGGTTGCCACTCCCCTTTGTATACATATATACATGTACGTGATTTAAAAGGGAACTGTTCGGAAAATGAGTAGAGTGCGCGCAATAATCAGGTAAACGCCATACCAAAAATAGGTGAAGTCGAATTGCAAATAAACACAGAAAAAGCGATTGATTACCTGTAAATCTCCATAAATTAAGGCAAGAACTCTTTAGAAAGTCTGTGCGCTTAACTGATGGGTTATTATTTTCAGTCAGGCTACAGTTTTCATATAATTGATCCATATTCGTTTTGCCGCAATGTTCTACCACACTTCTTCAAACACAACAATCTGAACAGTCTCATACGGCAGTTGAATATGTGTAAGTTTCTTCGGATTTTTGACTAATTTTCAAATGTTTTACTTGTTCCTGTGTATTCATGTATAAGAGTATGAGTGCTCAAAGCCATTTTTTCTAGCACGTATTTGAATACCTAAACCAATTGTTCCAGATGGTTTTCGAAAAATGACCCCCGTTGATCGTGGCTCGTTAGCAAGAACTGAATCTGATCAGGATCACCTCGAGTTCAGTCATCCATACTTCATTCGCGATCATCCCGAATTCCTTGTCAATATAAAGAGGAAGGTGTGTTCCCCGACCGTGGTAATAGGCAGTTTTGTGAATTTTCTCTTTTACAATTATTTACTAGACAATCCCAGGATCTTTGTCGCTCAATTCTTTTACCTTAGTCCAAGAATTTGTCTCAAGGAAGTGCCCTCGTTCACACTTGGAACTTGGGAGTTTCTAAGCTGCCGCTGATAGCTGGTAATAGGAAATCCAAGTTATTGATTTTTATGAGGAGGCATTGTTCATGCATGAGTCGAAATATTCATTTATGTGTCAGCAGTGATGACACTCATTCGTCGTCGTTGCAGTCGTGTTACGCTTTGCAGATGTCCTGTTTTTATAGTCAGGCACGCGGACCTTATGATTGCCAAAACATGAAGATTTAATTTCCGAGATATACTCAGCTCTCATGCCCATACGACCACAGCACTGTTGCGGGCGACTCGACTCATAGTCAAATGTATTGGCTTTCCTGGCTGCTTAATTTGGGAAAATAATGATATCGAATAGAAGAGTATTTTAAATAAACTCCACATTAGAAGCGAGTTGCATTATTAGTTTTGTAGTAGACGTAACAAGTTATGGCAACTTAATGTCTTAGTCTGGCGGTTTCGCAATAGAAAGGGTTTCGTCATGCATCAACGCTTGACCGTCTGTCACTGGTCCAGGTTGATGCATTTTCCATTTCCCTACACCGTTAATTTTTTAACACTAGAAAATCCTATACAAAGGTGTTCTCGTGCTAGCCAGACCTGGGGAAATCAGGTCTCCCAGCATTCAACTCTTTTGTTCTCTTGTTCCGCAAATATTGCACATGTTCCAGCAATCGTCACGTACGACTGAAAACTCCACAAATGGTGGGCAAGCACAGGCTACAATACAGTTGGTCATGGAAGAAATGCGTCAGCTGCGAGAAAAGCAGCGTACTACAGACAGATAACAAGATGCATGAACTTGTGAAGTATGGCAATCGTGTTTTTATTGCCTGTTTCTAATCTGAACTATTATTCTTTAGGGAAAACGAACAGTTATGGGAGCAGGTGACTTTATTACGTGCACAACACAATCGTCAACAGCAGGTGGTGACAAAGGTGCAGTTAATTTATCCATAACATTTCAGTCTATGTATGTGTGTGTGTTGTTGTGTTATGTTTAAAATGAGATATGTGGGCGATTGTTTGATTTGTGGTGACTTTACAGGGAGTGTGCGTCTCAAAGATTTTGTGTGTGTTGTGTGTTGGTCATGGGGTGATAATGTTTCGCTAGGAATGTCTGTGTGGTGTGTTAACTGCGATAAGGGCCAACCTCAGTGTGTTGGTGTGGGGGTCCAAACAAAATTCATCAGTCTGTGTGTGTGTGTGTTTTTACTGGGCCTATCATTGGTGTGGTTTCAGAGTTATCTATTGTTGTGTGTTACGTGGGCGGGCGGGAATTGTTCACTGTAATTGCTCTGTTGTGTGGCGCATTTATTCTGAGTTTACTGTTCCGTGTGTTGGTCGTGGTGTGTGTTCCTGATGGCGGGTATGTTTGTTGATTGCCGTTGTCGTCGGCGAGGAAACATTCCATGCAATGAATGTGTATCTCCCTCCACTGTTAAGGCCTAGCAGCCACCATTCAACATGTTACCTGTACTTTTTTGTCCTTCGTGTTCCCCCCCTAACTAATATACGTGTGTGTGTGGTCTAAACAAGTGGCCAAGATTGTGGGTCTGTGAACTCTGCCCTACACCTTAAGCGTCTATGTTAGGGTGTGTGTGTTCAGCGGTTGTGTGGGAAAGTGGGACTGGTGGAGGAACACACGAATGCTCATATGTGTTCAGGCCTAGCAAGTTGTCATTTTCTGTTGCTTGCAGTTTTTACATCAAAGGCCTGAAAATTTGGTAAATTATCGTCCCTGAAAAATTGTGGCAATCGGCTTGCAGACAGGCGAATGCCTCTCTTTCGTTTCGTAAATTTGGTCAAGAAAAAGTGCTTTAGTCTAATTTTTCTAATTGTTGTCTTCTTGTTCATGGGTATTTTTTCGATTTCTAGTATTCGATATTCGACCCGCCCTTTTTTTAACTCGTGGCGTGTGAGCATCCTGACAATTTCGTGACTATTGTTGCTTAGGTTCCAGTGGTCAAGCTGCTTTGTTTTAGCTGGTGCAGTTCCTTGTTGCAATGATGCAGCCGAATTCAACGGTGGCGAAGCGTGTCATGAAGAGAGGAGTGTTGGCAATTGACGAGCCACCCCAAAAGCGTATGAGAATGAACCAAAACCTAAATTCGAACAACACGTCTAATCTGACCGACGTAAGTTTTTTGAAAGTAGATCTTGTTTTGTTTTGATTGTGATGATTTCTCAAATAAAGTTTACAATTGTATATTTTCACCGAATTCTTAACAAGAAATTTATTAACCGAAGTCGGTGCTGTAGTCACGCCTTTGTTACTTTTTTATTTTCATTCATAATTTTGTCGCAGATTCTTGATCGGCTTCAAAGAGAAATGCTGGATATTGGTGGTATTCGTGGTGTTGCTGCTGCTGCCAGTCGCGCTGATGGCCCAATAATTGCTGATGTGACGGACGAATGGGTCCCAGGTTCTTCTTCTGGTAGCCCTCAGGGACAGGCACAAAGAAATAAGCAACCGTTTGGCAGCAACGCGTGAGTTGACTTGAACTCTTCTTCATAGACGAACTAACCACATTGTTTAAGATACAATATGTCTTCGAATATGCAAATGGCTCCATCAACATCTACCAACAATTCTTCCACATCTGTCGGTTTGAACACTCCGAGAAGGGCCCAAAATGGCGAAACTCCGGCCGCTATTTCTGGAGCGGCACAGGTTGGTGATTTCATTGTAGCTTCCGCAGAAATAATTTCGCAGATCAAAAACAAAAGGCTAGACTTTGAAACTGTTGTGTTACGGAATTTAATTTTGAGATACTGCAAACGTGTTTCATGTTTCATTTTTTTCAATAGTTTCAAGATTTTCTTTTAATGATATCTGATACGGTCATTTTTGAGACAAACGCTTCAACGTTGTCGCCCTCGATTACTATGTCACCCTCACTTGAAAGGCAATTCTCGCAGGTTGGTTTTTGAGCACCTGGCACCATGTGAAAATTTTCTTGTGGTCTCCCTCTGATCGCGTTGCAGTGTCAGTTTCTCCGATCGGAGTAGTTCCCTCAGAAATGACTGACTCCACAAAACAACACAATCAAAAAATTGGAATCAACTTTTCTTACTTTTTACTTTGCTCATACCGCTAACACATCAAAGTTTCCCTAACCCTCCTACCATTATTACTACCTGCGTAGGGATACTAACCATAAGTGAAAAACCTTTCTGCACATACAGCTTACTGCTTAAATACGTATATCTACAAAACGCTAAGTTTGAAATGAATCTAGGCAACTGAATAAAGAATGCGTACTGACAAGGGAAGGATACCAGGTCGAAGTGGCCATTTGTAACGACATACACCACTAGATGTGTTTTTGGACGCTGATCTCGAATCTGCTCTCCAAATCTGCGAAACGATTCTCTGAACGTAGTTATGAAGCGAGATAGTGCAGTGGCAGCGGCCCGAGCCGACGAGTAAGAGGTCGTGAGATCGAGTTCTTGGCGATTTCTCACGTTTGCTTTCCTTGAGACATTGCTAAAGATGCTTTTATCCATATAAATTATTAGCGATTCGCCTATATTACAAGTGGGAATAGCTAGCGAGGAGCATCTAACACTGTGCGCGCCATTCGCAAAAGATCGCCCCTTGTACTCGTAGCGCACGCGTCAGGCGCATTCGTGCCAAACAGAGGTGATATTCGTGTTCAGCGCGTCAAAATGCCCCTTTCCACAACTTTTGGTCCAAATCTGAAATTTGTACCTAACTTTGCAAATGTGGCAGTCATCGTGTCATGCACAGTCGTCCACTTATCGAACCCTCCGCTAACTTCTCGCTAACGCTGTTATCAGCCAATCTGATTATTACGCAATCAAGATGACGGCCTCCTTAACAGCGTCCTCAGGGAAAGCGAAAGTCAAAACTCGCCGAGAATTCGATCCCACGACCTCTTTCCCGTCGGCTGGGCCACTGCCACTGCACTATCTCGCTTCATAACTACGTTCAGAGAATCGTTCCGCAGATTTGGAGAGCAGATTCGAGATCAGCGTCCAAAAACACATCTAGTGGTGTATGTCTCGTTACAAATGGCCACTTCGACCTGGTATCCTTCCCTTGTGAGATGTTAGAAGTTTA